ACTTCATTTTTTGGGCAAAGGTCATTTGTCTCGTGATAGACGTTTTCGCAAAAAAGGGCGGCCCTTAACAGAGCCTAAATTTGGGCAGATCTCATTGAAATTAAGTAGTTTTGTAAAATGTTGAGGAGTTTTGAAACAAAAAAGACAATGCGTTTTTAGTTGCAAACTCTGTCTGTAATCGGTTTCCTGTTTAAATCACGCCAACAAACTGTTTTACCTTCTCCTTGTTCCGTTAAGCCAAATGTTTAACGCAGAGCTGACAAGTTGGTGGCAACTGCTAGGAGTTACATAGAGATGGTGCCACGAACGTTCCCTCGAATAACCCCGAAATGGAGGGTCGGGCAAGCAGCGGCTGTTAACTGGAGATTTTCAGTTGACGGTCGAAAGGCCTGGCGCAGCTGCAACTGGCATTTAGGCATATCGCAACAATATTATCAATATTTGATCTTCACATCAGTTGGAACTTACATCTACTTATAGCCTTTGAAATCCTCTACATGATTGTGAACTGTGCTCCTAAATTTGCGTTATTTCTTGCCTCGAGTTCAGGATCAGAATTGTTAGAAAAAAAGCAGATTTAAATACGTGCATACATACCACACACAGAAACATGATTTCAGTAGCGCACCTTTATGCTTAGTAAGAAAAGGCACTTGAAAATATTTGGCTGCAGGTTGCAAATGACTGTAGCTGTATAATTTTTCAAAACTGCTGAAATGGATTTGGGTTGCATGCATAAATTTTGATTCTTACTATTGTAAGGCAATGTTCAAAACGATATTCAGTGTTAAATTTAACAAAAAGATGCGGAATGCCCCTTGATTTGACCAAAAAAAAAAGCCTCACGAGAAGAAAGCCGCTGTTGTACTTCGCTTTTGAAGGGCTGTGCTCCACTTTTGGAATAATGAATGTAGTTAGTAGCAGTCATAAGGCATAAGACAATGAATGCAGTCTCGCATAAAGCTAAAAAGTTAGCTTTTCATGCAGAAAGATCTACAAATTAATGCGGATGATGAAGCTCGACTGAAGTAAAAATAATTTTGAATAGCAAGCGAAAGTCAAAAACTCCTTTAAGGATCTCTTGTTTAACTTGTGTACCTGAAAAATTTCAACTGTTTACAATGCTAATGGGCCGCATCAATCAACACGAACTGCGCTAGTTTGTCTAAATAATTCCTTATTCTCGCAAATGTTTCAGAACGACAAGAAACATCACCACCGCCGGGGCAAAAGTTCATGGAGTTGTTGTAAAGGTCATCGTTGCGGACAACAGCGTTGTTGAGCAGC